CTTCAAAGTGCACAGACGCGCACACACACACACACACACACAGATGTACAAAGTAGAGCCACCAAATGGTTGAAGATACTAAAGTATTGAACTGTGCGACAAATGAACATTGGAAGGCCGCAGGAATGCGAGTGGGTCATCATTAATTACACGGACGGACAGACGGGGCGAACGGACGTACAATCACTCGCACAGACGGTCAGTTAGACATTTGGGTTTGTTTGTGTAGTTTCGAACGGGTCGAGAGACATTATGTCGGTGGCGCGTCTCTTTTTAAGTGAATAGCTGTGAAGGCTGTTGTTGACTGACTGACTGACTGACTGACTGACCGTTGTTGAGTGGCCGCCGATCCGGCTGCGAGTTGGTTACTTCTTTAGCTTTCAAAGTCAGACTTTTTGACTGTTGTGGCGGTTATGTACTAAAACAGAAAAAAATAAATTAAAAAAAAATTACTTTGACAGTGGGCTGATTAAAAGTTGCGTCTAAAAAATCATTAAAATATTCCACTAACATCGAAGATTTGAGCGGCCAAATTTTGTTTATGTTCCAAAAAAATACAGCGGATCAAATCGGAAGTGTGAATTGGACACACCAACCATCGACTGATGGCAACTCTACATTGTTGAGCATAGATCTTCGACTTTGACCGCAAAGAGTCTCAGATTAATAATTTCTTGGGATATCTGTCAAAAAAGCAATCTTTGTTCATAGCCAAGCAGCACTGAAGGCAATCGGATATAAAACTGCGAAATCAGGAATTTTATAGAAATATGGCACCACGCTGGCGTCACTGAGCTATATCAACGCCACTCTATGCTTGATGCCCAGACATAGCAATATTGAAGGGAATGAATGAGCTTATTAGATAACCAGATACGGTTCAGAGATGCCAATATGTAGAAGAAGCGGACAGCTCCGTACTACCACCGTTCAGTGATCACGGTAGAACAGTGGGGTCTACTTAACCGCATCGAACCAGATCTATATCTGGCCTGTCACTCCAGCAACATTGCCCAAAAACTCTTTGGGGAATTTTCATGCTATTACAATAACAACAACGTTATGAAAATTGATAAATACACCGTGGCCACGATTTAGGACTTGTCGAACATACGGGAAGACCTGTGAGATCTCAAAATTATAATGGCAGCGGCTTGGTGGGAAAAAGACCAGGGATATACTTAAACTCAACAAAATTCCTAACCGGTATCTTCTGTGCTATAGCACCAATGCTTCAACGATGGCGACTACCAACAAATACTATCTGCAGAAACTGCCGTAATGAGGATGAGGTAGAGTCAATTAGCCACTTCCTTTGTCGATGTCCGGGTCAACAGTCGAAGTGCCTAAAGCACTTGTGCTCTTGCTCTCTTAACAGTCTGGGCGAGATAGCGGAGGTGGGACTGTTGGATCTGCTCGACATCATTAGCATTAGAATAATAACTTGAAGTGAAAGTATGGAATTCCTGAAAACCATCTAGCCAGTTGAAGCTTCAGTGTGTTTTCTTTTATTAGGGCGCGTTCATACACTTATTACTTGTCCCTATTCTTGGGGTAAGCACAAATTGACGTAGTGCTATTGAAGGAATTGTAAGAATTTACACCCATTCTCGAACTCATTCCTGATTAAATGAAATAAGATTTCTCGGTATCTTAGATCTGGGCTTACAAAATACTTCATTAATCTTTAAGCGTGTCCACTTCACTCAATCAAGGTTTTTGAAAAAAAAAGTTTCTTTGTTTTGTGTAAAAATTTCAACTCTGATCTGCAAAGAAGAGAGTTCTTAGGTTTGGGATGCCTAAAAGATTTAATTATCAGATCATGGCGACCTTGGCCACAACTTTAAGGTTTATCACAGAAAAAATTGCGAGTCTGATATGATGTCAATAAAATAAGAGACTCCAAAGTGGTTTACTGATTTTCAGATTACTGCAATGTTTTCCGTGCAGAGATCTTTGCAAGTTGGCAAACATGATGGACCTTGTTCAATGAACAATCGCCTTTTTAGGAAGGTATTTTAGAAAATATTGGTCATTCTTTACTGGATCCCACTGCATTCATCACAAGATCGGCATGATTCAAGGCCATATAAAAATTAGTATTAAGCGAAATCTTCTCCTCTGGGGATACGACAACACCAAAGGAACACTTGAAAAGAGCAAAATTAACTCAGATTTCACGGAAAGTGGTTTTGAAGAATATGAACCACTTAAACAATTTTATTTACATCAAAAACTAAAATTGTCTAAGACTTTCATATTTAGCCACCACTGTACTCCCTCAATGCATATGACATAACCATAGAGTGCAATGCTGGCAATGTACTTTGAAAAGCCTTTTGGATGAGTGTATTTAAGGTTTGACCGGAAACTTCTTATCGCAGTGAAAATCTTGGCTGCGTGAAGCTGCAGAGCTTCGCATTCTCAGCAAAGTCAAAAAAAAAAATAATATCAGGTACAATTGCAGGCTCAGTTTGCCACGCAGAGCACTCAGGTGCCATTCATTCATTCATTCAATCGTTCATTTACTTATTTACATTTCTTGCTTTTGTTTTAGTGCTGATTTTTCTACAGTGCATCATAATAAATGGTATATACATACATACCTGTGTGCATGATCGTGTGTGTGTGAATATGTAAATTCAAGTCGTCAAGTATATATACATATACATATATGTATGTGTAATCAATGCTGTGTCGGTTGAGTTGAAGCTATTTAAGTAATTCAAATTATTCAAAAAAAGTATTTTCCTTGCAGTTGATTTCGTGGAAAAAAGGTCACCAAAATCAATCAAGAGATCTTTTTATTTGATTATTCCGCTTTTAGATTTTTATGTGCCGACTTCGAATGTTATCGGCAGCATCTTCGTTAGCTGGGCAAATGAGATGACCCACCGCGTGCTTAACTTTGTTGCATGTAGACAAAGTGGCAGCTAAAACGCTGACTCGAGAGACAGGTCGACTTTTTCAGCATTGCAGCAGGTTGTATCCTAGCCATAGTAAACATTCTTTGTTTCTACTATCATTTTGAAAATGAGGGAAATTAAGAAGAAAAAAAGTGTTCTGGTTTTAGTGCACCGATATTTTCGAACTTCTATATTTTTGTTTGATTTTTACCTTCTGCATATTTTTGGAATGCATGCTTTTCGAGAATTTTGGTTTGTATGTATATGTATATGTGTGCCTGTTTGAAGGTTTATTGATTGCTAAATTTTTTGTCTTTTTCTCTTTTTCACCGCCCACACATTGCCTCCGCAGGATCTCCAGTTAATGGGTTTAGTATAATGCATTCATTTCACACAATTCGAAAAGCAAAAACAAATAACTTATACATTTGCATTTCCTCTTGCAGATCTCTATCAGCATCCTCAACAGTATTCACGGAATCTCTTCTACACCAATAGCGGTAGTGTTGGTAATAGCAACCATAACGGCAGCGGTAGCAGTAGCAGTTTGCACGCGCATTTTCCACATTTACAGCAGCAACAACAACAACAACAACTGCATCAACATTCCCAGCAACATCTGCAGCAACAATCAGCGCTATCTGCGCTTTCGCAACATGTTGCCGAAAGTGCGATATGGCAACATCAACATCATCAACATGCACGTCCATCGCATTTGCAGCAATAATAGGAAATGTTGCTTGATGTTGGATGTTTGGTAGTGTGAAAGTGGGCAAGTGGGCAAGTGGGCGTATGTGCATATATGTAAACCAAATACAGACAAACAATACAAACCAGCTTGTAATTAACTACATATAAGAAGCTGGAATCCCTATGAATCCTTTAAAAAAAAATGGCAAAAGAAAGAAGAGCAAATGTATCCAATTGTAATTCAAGCGAAAAACTTATTGCATTCTGAGTATTTATAACATAATTAACAAAGTAAACAATTCAAGTGCAGTAATAGAAATTTGTAAGAAAATAAATTGTATAAATATTAAGTTTACCATTTTTAATAAAATATGCATAATATGTGGACATACAAACATACATATTTATTTACGTATAGACACACACATAAATACATAATTTTGTATATAAAATAAGTACTTATACTTTTGTTGTAAAAAATAGTGTATATTTGTAAACTGAAACAAGAAAGTATTGCTGCGAAATGTAGGACCTAAATATAGACATATGTATGTACATATAAAAGCCAAAAAAATATTGCATATAAGGACATCAGAAGGACCACATTGTAATGGATGACCTATAAACTTTCATAGCTTCTCCTTTAATACTATAAAACGTAAACTGATATGTATGGATCTGTACCAACATGCCTACATATTGTAGAATGGGAGGCATATAAATATGTAATCGGTGCACGCACTACCTACAAATACAAATCTTAAAATGTATTATACATATAAATGTCAAAATTTCATCAGAAAAGATTGTAATTAAAATTTTATTCGGATTATTTAAAGGCCCAATAGTTGAAACTATCAGTGCAATGTATTAATTAAGTTAATTCCTATTAATAAGATTATTTAGATATAAATGGCCGGCAGTTCCAGAAAATTGTATTCGCAAGGACACCTTCACCTAGACTAGCTCCACCTTGCTTCAATCTGTGGTGGCAAGCGTGTCGCCGCTGCTACATCTTTTCCTATTATTTTCATATTCCACAAATTCTGCATTTCACTTCCGAGTGAATTTCAACTAAAGTTACTTTAAATTCAAATTGAATGGGGTTGAAATTCACTCGGAATTGGAGACCCTTCCGGATTGTCTTAATTTCCATTCCTATTCTAGAAAATCTACAGCTTGGGTTCAACCAATGTCCCTCTGGAAAATTTTGATCTATTGTTCCTTAATATCGCTGAATTAAACGCTCGAAGCACTTCAGTATTGTCAAACTAAAATTGTAACCAATTTAGACTTCCTAATATATGTAGGTTGTTACCTACATACTTACATATATGAAACTGTCCTGAAAAATTTCATATCACAAAAGTAAGTTTTTCGGCTCCCACTTTCCGTTTTGATCCACAACAGTTTTGAAATAACGCAAAATAAAACAAAATAAATTAATGACAATGCAAAATCTAAGCCAAGTAATCAGACTTTAAAAGAAGTTCAATATTCAATAGCTCTCTGTGATTTTGTTCGAAGCAAAAATTAAATTTATAGCTTCCGAATTCAGGCGTTGATCAGTCCAAAATAATCGGTGATCGCATCCCTTACAATTATACTAAATAATTTTTGTCTCGCTCACGGGTTATTGGAAAGCCTGATTCAGAAATAGAAACACATCTTTTGTCCTAATGTCATGAACTACAAGAATTTTTAGGTGTTTTCAATGGCAAGCTTTTTGCAATTTCCTTGCATCATACATCCCAACAGATAATTTCAGCAGTTAAAATCCCTTTCGAAGGCTTTCCTGGGTGTTAAGAGGCCTTCCACTCTACATTGCTTTCTTCTTTCTTTTTTTTTTGTATGAAGTGGTGCAAATTGAAGGGCTTCTGCATTCGCTACTCTTAGAAGAGCTTTTTAGGGCGTACTTCAGAATTGTAAATAGGAAAAGCCCTTCTGCAGGGAAGTACCCTTTTAGCTTCTCTTAAGAACGCCCACCTAAATTATCTTCTGGAATTTTGAGGATATGCCCAATAGTATCGCCTAAAAAAGCAAATTTCCAAAGTCCTTCCAACATTGACAGTAAGATTGCAAACTTTCTTTCAGTAGGGAGGCTTTTTAATATCAATGGCGCATATTCATAGTCGACTCCATGATAAAAATATAGTAAGGTAGAACCGCTGAGAGTCACTTTTAAAATTCTTGACGTTTCCAAACAATTTAATTTTTAAATTTACTCACAAACTCACACACACATTTTCATTTTCAATCTCAGCAACAACAATTTCGAACAATTTCAATTTTTTATTTTCACTTTTATATGATTTTAAAATGTTGGCAAACTTCAAAAAAAAAATCATGGCCGACAAATTGAGAGAACGGTTCTACCTTGCTATGTTTTTATCATGGTCGACTCTACAGTTAGTTACAGCTTTTTTGACAGATATTCTTTTGAAAATTATGTCAAAAAGCTGCAACTGACTCTAGGGTCGCCTTTATTCTGACTTTGAATGTGCCCCAATATATGTGCAAGATTAGATTAATATTTTAGACAGAGTTGAAATTCAATTTGTTCCCAATTTGAGAGCAAAATCATTTAGCAACGCATAACAGTGTGAATTGTTAGAAGTGACTGACTCACTGACTTTTTATACATAGATTTGGGAAAAAATTTATGCAGGAAGAATTTTCCAAACGAAATCTTTTTAATGCGAGCTCGGTTCTTAGCGATGGTGCTCCTGCCTTACTATTCCTATGGGCTGTTAAATAAGTTAATAAGCTGATCACAGGGACTACTAACTCGTGAGTGACTCTTCAACAATAATGTGCGTGAGCCCACCATTGATGTAGAATCAAAGGTAGAAAACGTATTTCAAAAATGTTTCATTATTCAAACTTATTATTATTATGCTCGTAGGTATTACTACTTTACAACTATTAAAATTGAACCCATAAAAATCAGATGAGACCCATCTAGAGGACAAGCTTCTTGAGTCTTTCATTTATTTCTTTTTAAGCTGCTAGTAAACATAAAGTTAGCAATAAAATAAAAAAATGTAACTAAATCATGTGTAAATTCTAAGAAATTGTATATAAAATGTTGATAAAACCTTTGTTAATATTATATACTACATACATACATATAAAATACGTATGAAAAAAATTCATCAAATATAAACTTACACAGATATCAAAATAACACATTATTTTCTTTTAGAATGGATTGTAAGGAAATAATATACAGAGCTGTTTTTATGTATAGTTAGTTTAGTAAAATAAGAAAATAAAATGTATATACAGTTAGGAGGTTGTAATTTTTGTATCACTTTTGGCAGACATGCGGCATTCGCCTAATTACGCATACAGTAGAGATTTTAAAGTTTTAATGGACACAATCGAATTTCAAAGTACATACTTACATTGAATGTAATTTCGTGACTAATTTACGCATTTATTACATACATACTATTTATTATTGTTGTTCTCTTAATTTGGTTATATCGTACATGAAATGATAGGATTCGTGTTATACAAAGTTCTTATATCGAATGCAAATAAGTAAATTTTACTAAGCGCTGCATAGGGCTAACTGCAAACCATTAGTTCAAATTTAAAAGACATCGGTCAGCTATAAGTTTTTCTGTAATCCAGCCTAGTGATACTAAATTAAAATTCTTCGAGCGCATTACTGCAGCTTTCATAAAAATTATTTACTACCATTCAACAATTTTATTGAGCTTGCGGTCGTTTGAATGAAAAATGTTAAAAAAAAATCATATCGAGTCAACAAAGGCCAAAGTTAGATATGTACACATTTTTGAAACTCCTTTATTACTTAGTATGATCATTGAATCATTTTCAAATTAATAAAAAAGGCGAAGGAAAATTCAGTTGAACCTGCGCGTGTGCAAAGGACATTCATCATTTTTGTTGGTATATGTTTCACATGCATACCAATTGCACGCACTGCGTCATTGCCTGCTTTTAGGCGTACGCATTGTTGCATTACGAACTGCAGTTGACAACCAGCAGAAAGTCGTAGCCTACATTCAGGCGCTGAATGGAATGTTGCTTTGTATAGTAGGGATGAATCGAATAAGAACAAACAACGTTACTCGCAAATAAACCAAAGAATTTCTTGTGCATGTTTCCAATTCGAATAACAGCAGGGGGGTTGCATATGCAAGGCGAATTCATTTATTTGTATGTAGTTTCGAGTCTCGTTTGATCTTGAAGAGATATTGAAGTTGTTCTGAATGTGTTTGTATGTACATATATGTACACATCGTGCCTTTGTTGCAAGAGTGTGATAATCAAAAAAAGAAAATAAAAATTTGAATTATGTAAGTATGCCGCCTCTTCTTCTAGGTTGTGTAAGAACCCTATAGTTGATTCGATTAACAAAAACCGCCTTCGATTCGCCATTTCTCTGCTCGCTATGTTTGACTTCCGCTCGCTTAACGAACAATTTTGTATGTGAAAGCAACAACATATGTATGTAGTTAGCTAGAAGCGATGGACGCTGGCGAGTGTAGTTTATCTCACTAATAGCCGTGTTTTATTTGTCCAGAAATTTAAGCTATTAGCTTATTTTGTACGGAGGACTTACCCAACATAATTATATTGGCTTATGAAAAGCTATCTTGGCTTGTATATTGAACAAGAGGCATTGCCATTCAGCATCAGAAATTTTCTCCTTCAGCCAATCAGAAAGAGGCAAAAACTTACTTTGACACTATTTGCAGTCAAACAACTGTCAAAATTAGGCTAACATAGGAAATAAGCTAATTTCGTTTTATTTGACCAAGATTTAACTATTTGCTTGTGATGGTTGAATAAAACATGCCTAATATCGTTCGTTTCGCCACTCGCCAAGTTAGTGATTAGAAGAAAATGTGTCTTCATTCTTATTATGGGAGCTGTGGTGTAGTGGTAAGCAGTGCGCGCTTCCACTCCGCAACGCCTGGGTTCAAACCCTGGTCAAAGCAACATCGCAAAAAATATAGAAAAAAGGTTTTTTCTTAACAGCGGTCGTCCGTCGGCAGGCAATGGCAAACCTCCGAGTGTATTTCTGCCATGAAAAACAGCTTCTCATAAAAATACAATCGCCGTTCGGAGTCGGCGTAAAACTGTAGGTCCCTCCGCTTTGTGTGACAACATCAAGGCGCACGCCGCAAATCAGAGGAGAAGCTCGGCCAAACACTAACATATGTGTAAGCGCCAATCTATTATTATTATTATTAGTATGTAAAAAAAAAACTTTAAGGCTTAGCCGCCTGCTCTCAAGAAAAATCACAAGAAACATTTTTCATTATTTCTGTTACTTAAAAAAGTAATTAGCCGTTTCTAGAAATTTTCTTCAAGAAATAAATATATGTAGTATATGTGCATACATACCAGCA